AAAAAAAAAAACAAACAAACACTGCATAAAGCTACCTGATGACGGAGCTGCAAGGGCTGCTGGCCAGGGGTCCGGGAAAGGCACACATACACATCCAGGGCAGGACCTGCGCTTGCCTTATGTGCTCAAGTATCCCAAGTACCCTGAACAGTGCAACAGTGCCTAGGAAACCGTAGTGTCCAATCAATGCTCACTGAATGAAATAAATCAATGGAACGGGGATAAACTGTTGCCATTTCCATCCAGTATAGCAGAGGCCTTTCAACTGTTTTGTGACCATAGGAGTCACAAAAGTTAACCACCCACCCCTCACAGATGCACATGTTACGTCTCAATTGTGAGTATGTGTTTCTATGTAAAACACCATGTTCACTAGAAAATATCCTAAAACAGGAAAGCAGGAAGGAGGGAGCACGACGCAGGAAGGCTGTGTCTGCAGCTCTCGCTCATTTCTGATGCTGCATCCCACCCCGCTCTGCTCCCAGCACCAGAAGGCCCTGCCTGGCTGACGGCTGGCCTCAGCCCTCAGTGGACGTCTTGCCCGTTTTGCTCTCAGATTTCCGGGAGAGCGGTTGTGGCCCAATCAAGCTGCAGAAACGTCCGTCGTAAGGTACCCATTGGAAAGGTAGCCCCGCAAATGCTCACGCATGTATTAGCGTGGAAATGAGCGTCAGTTACCTGACCCTCCCCGGAGTCCTGGCTTCCAGACCTCTGTTGCTGAGCAGCCAGCAGGTCTGGGCACGGCCCTGGGTGAGCAGCCACCGGAAACCAGATGCCCGGGTCCCACGTGCACGGCAGGCCTGCCTCTGCTCCAGCGCTGGGGGCAGCAGCTTGATGCAAAACAGATGCTGACAGGCCAGAGGTGATTTCCTTTGTCTTTTTTTTAAAGAATTCCATGCAATTTCACACACAAAGAGCCCTGGTTTCCAAATGTGTAAACCCACACAGGAAATAAGAGGTTACAGAAAGACAGTTATTTTCTACTTAACGGTACAGGTACTTTTTGCCAATAACGCGTTCATGCGGGCAGTCTGACTGAACACGCACTTGGTATCGTTGTTTGAGACCCTGAGTGTGATATGGCAAGTCCACCAGGCCTGGCTTCCCTCGCTTTTCCATAGGCAGTTCTGACGGCTGCAATGGAGCAGCACGAACCACACCCCCCCAAGAAGAAGAGGGCTGCCATGGGCCATGCACGCGTGTTCCCTCCCCTTCTGCAGTCCTAACAGGTTTGTCCTCACAGTCTGAATGCTTTTCAACTGCAAGTCAACTGTCACTTCACACTGTCCTTAGACTCACACACAGGCTGATGGGCATCACGGGAAAGACTCAATATAAACCCATATGTCAAAGAAGTTCCCCAAATTAAAATTTGGAGAGCCAAATTTTGGAAGATCTATTATACAACCAAACATTGTTGGGAATGCGGGTGAGGGTGTGGTTGCGGGTGCACGTGAGGGTGCGGGTGAGGATGAGGGTGAGGATGGGGGTAAGGGTGAGGGTGAGAGTGCAGGTGAGGGTGAGGATGAGGATTAGGGTGCGGGTAAGGGTGAGGGTGAGAGTGTGGGTGAGGGTGAGGGTGCGGGTGAGGGTGAGGATGAGGATTAGGGTGCGGGTGAGGGTGAGGGTGAGAGTGCGGGTGAGGGTGAGGATGAGGATTAGGGTGAGGGTGCGGGTTAGGATGTGGGTGAGGGTGAGGGTGCGGGTGAGGGTGAGGGTGACGGTGCGGGTGAGGGTGAGGGTGAGGATTAGGGTGTGGGTGAGGGTGAGGTTGCGGGTGAGGGTGAGGATGAGGATTAGGGTGCGGGTGAGGGTGAGGGTGCGGGTGAGGATGAGGATTAGGGTGAGGGTGAGGGTGCAGGTGAGGTTGCGGGTTAGGATGTGGGTGAGGTTGCGGGTGAGGATGAGGGTGAGGGTGCGGGTGAGTATGAGGGTGAGGGTGCGGGTGAGGGTGCGGGTGAGGGTGAGGATTAGGGTGCGGGTGAGGGTGAGGGTGAGGATTAGGGTGAGGGTGCGGGTGAGGGTGCGGGTGCGGGTGAAGGTGAGGATGAGGATTAGGGTGAGGGTGTGGGTGAGGGTGCGGGTAGGGTGAGGTTGCAGGTTAGGGTGTGGGTGTGGGTGCGGGTGAGGGTGAGGTTGCAGGTGAGGATGTGGGTGAGGGTGAGGGTGAGGGTGAGGGTGCGGGTGAGGGTGAGGAGTTCTTTGCAGCCATCTTTTGAGGCTCCTGGTCTGACAGGGAGGAGCTGCGTTAACTGAAGCAGGATGAGAGCAGTTAAAGGGGGGGGGGCACTGGTGAACTCAAGCCTTCCATATAAGGAAAGGAGTACAGGCAACACTGGTAGCTCCTCCTCTCCTCTAGGGCCCAGTTTCTTTCAGGTGCCTTAAGTAACAAACACAACATCTGATCTTTTGACAAAAGGCCACAGTGGAGATAACAATGTGAATCCATATGTAGTAACGCTTCCTAACACAATCAAAATGATGAAAATACCAGTTCTCATGTGAATTCCCACACCTCAGTGGACTGTTGTGCAGGCACCCTGGGGGTACCTGTCCACTTAAAAGGCTCAGGATTATGAAGAAGACAAGACTGACCTTTGGCCTCCTCTAGACCTTGCTCTCTCCAGTTTAACCTGGATCTGATATTCACTGGAAAGAGGCCTGATAAACTTAGTACAGACTGCATTTTAAGTATTTTTAAATTTTTGTAATCTGATTTGAGAGGGAGGGAGAAAGAAAGAGTTCCCACCCACTGGTTCACTCCCCAAATGCCTGTGTGAAGGGAACTCAGTTTGGGTCTCCCACAGCGGGTGGTCAAGAGGCCTTCATTGGATGCCTCCCGGATGCACGTTAGCAGGTATCTGGAATTGGGAGCAGAGCTGCGACTTGAACCTGGGCACTCCTACATGGGATACAGGCATCACAACTGGCATACTGATCAGTGTGCCAAATGCACACCCCTTAGCCAGAGGTATTGATCCTACTGAGAGTCTATGCCTTGTAAGAGAGCGTTCCCTGAAGAGGAAAATCTTAATGAATTACCAGCCACTACAGCTTCTGTGACAGACTGCAGTCTGTGGGGTGATGACAGGGGTGTCCCTGGCACCCTTTGGAACACACTGTGGGCTACTGCCTGCTGTCCTGAGGGCAGGCCAGCAAACAGGGTGTAGTTACCACCAGTGCCTCCTGATCTCTGTCCGAGGTGACAGAAATTCTCCTGGAATGAACCACATTGGACATCCAAATGCTGGGGCCCATGTCTTCCTGTTACCAAGCCTGGGCATGAGACCATTTTTTCTATTTGCAATGCTAATGATAAATCAACATTCAACAGAAGTTTCCAAAGGAGAAAAATAGAAGAAGCTTAAGCTGGTAATCCTGAATTAATGTATTTTCCTGGTTACTTATAATGGCAAAGAATTATTTGCGCAGTAAGAAAAATGCTAATTTTATTAAAGTGCTATTAGATGAGGCTTTTAGACTAACTTGCAGTACTCTAAAAAAAAATTATACGAGTGACTCGATTTGTCAGTTCTAACCTCTTTGGACTCATTTGCCTGCACAGTTGCCATCCTTGGAAGGAAAAGCCAAACCCAGAACTGACTTGTTTCCTAAATGAATCGGGAAGTTGTCATCAGCAAGCATCTGCTACTTTATCGCGTTCACGTAAAAGCGTTCTTATGCCCGTGTGACGGACTATTGAGCAGATGCTGTAGAGTGCTATACCCGCAGCAATGCGTGTGTCATAAAAGAGAGGGAGCTGCGGCGTAAATAATGATTCTGATCCCTCTATAAATGACTTTCACTTTTTCTAATGGATTAAAAGTTGTGTCAACAAGTTCAACTTCTAACCCAAGCAATTCACTGGCAAGAAAGTGAACTCCAAAGCATTCACAGCAATCAATAACACAAGGTCAGCTTCAGGGTTACACCCAAAACGATGAAATCTGAGAGGCAGGAAAGACCTCCCTCGTCAACTCAGTCTCCCACGTTCCCTCACACCAGCCAATCTGCAATTAGACATCAGTTCCTTCGTGCCATAAAGGGCTCTAAGCTGGGAGAATATTCATTTTCTTTAAGAGTGGGAGCAAATATAATTATTATCAGCTATATATTTTTTTTCTTTTAAATCTTAGCCAAGATTTTTTAATGGACCTTGGGGTGGCAGCATGGGAGATGAGAATGCAAAACAGGAAGGCAAGTCATGTGTGAGCGTCAGAGGGGTAGTCAGTTACACATGGTACCCAGTTCCTCTCACTTTAACATGTGCCCTAACTTCAGTGTAGGACATTTGAAAACACAGAAAAGGGGTCAACAGCCAAGGGATGTCTGCAACAAGGCTACTCCTCCACCCAAGACCCATGCTGTCAGAGCCCTTGTCTTAGCTGGGTTAGCCGGGTAGCAGACCTTGACACAAGGGATACACTTGGAGAGGGAAGAGAACACAAGACAGGAAGGGAGCGCAGCTGAGACAGGGTACATGGGCCCAGTAACCAAACTGCCCCTGTGGGCAACTGGGGCTCCTGGCTCCTGGTTCCTGGCTCCTGGCAGAGTACCCTAGTCTTCCCACCTGATGGGTCAGGAGGTTGGGGACATGCCTTTACGAGGATGCATGGACTTTGGGTGTGCAAGGCCACCTCACGCTGGAGCACAGCACACTCTTGCTGCTCTTGATGGCCACCCTCAGGTAGAGTCCCTGTCTGGGCCCCCACACTGTGCACAGGAACAGGAAGTGTCGTGGCACCTGCAGGGGCCGTAGACCATCACCAAGCAACACACCCCGCGACATTATCTGTGCCTCTGAAACCCAAAATGCTCTGAACAGGGAAGGATTTTTTTTCCTTAAGTTTGGCCTACAATTCATTTGGTGGCAAATGCTTACCTGAGGCCTTTCAGAGCATTTATTTACTCTACTTTCTATGAATACTGTTTCCCTGAGGAAATACTAATAAGTGTGAGTATTGGGTGTCATCCAGAATATAATATAACCTAGAACTTACTTTTGTAACATTACATCTTCTCTCTAAAATTCCCAAATTCTTAATTCTGGACACAACAAGGCCCAAGGATGTGGACATGCAGCTTCTCAGTGACTGCTGCCTCTCTTGAGTTCATCCTGAGAATAAATAAAATAATGAGGTAGAAGTACAGTAACCTCCTTGGACAAAAGGCACTGAGCAGATAACTGAGCAGTTGGTTGCCAGATTAACACACTTGGAGAAAAAGGAAATGGAGACTGGTGAGGGTGGAAGAAGGCAAGTAAAAAGTGTAGCTTTTTAAGTACTTGAGTATTTTTTTATTACTGAGATGCTTAGCAGCTTCTCCTTACCCAGAGTCCATCATAGTGAGCAGTCTTGCAGCTTGTATTTAAAATATTAGAACCGGATTCCTCAAAAATCCCTCAGAAAATAAAAACCCAGCCCAAATGTGAAAATGTTAAAGTATGAATATGAACAAAGATCTCGGGTTTCTGTTTGTTTATTTTTACGAGAAGCAGAGAAACAGGACTAAAAGACAGAGTTCCCTTCTGCAGGTTCACTCCCCGAATGTTTGCAATAGCCAGTGCTGGGCCAGCCAAGGTCAGGAGCTGGGAATTCAGCCCAGGTCTCCCACATGGGTCGCAGGGACCCAACTACTTGAGCCACCACATGCTGCTTCCCAGGGTCTGCATTAGCAGTGACCTGGAGCTGGGAGCCAGAGCTGGGATTCAAACCCAGATACTTCAATGTGATCATCTTAAATGCCATGCTAAATGCTTGCTCCTATTTTGTAAAAAGGTGGTCCCATTAGATTAACACACACATAATTTCCACATCAATCTCTCATGTGCATACACTTCAGGAACTCAATAATCCTAATTATTGAGACCCGTTATTATATTTATTCATTTAGTAAACACCTGCTAAACACAGAGTATAGAGGAGACAGTGCAGTGATGACTAAAAAATCATGAAAAAGGAACTCCATAACTGTTCATGCAAGCACTGTGTGCCTGGGGGAGGGGGCCCCTTGGTGTAGGTCACATCATGAGTGAGTGCGTCCCCTAGCAAGCTATGATGATGGCTGGGTATGTGTTCACACATTTGGGGGATTAAAGATGAAGCCCTCTCTTGGTCCCGACTGGAAGGATAAAGGAGGTCTCTGTTTAAGAAATGCTACCCTGCTGAATAACAAATGATTCCAGCTGGCGGAACTGAAGCATGCAACAAAGACAAGCTCCACGGTGCGAGGCACCGAAGCTCATGGCAAATTCAGCAAACCATGCTGTTGGTCTGCAGCACAAGACTGTACAAGAACCTTGAAAGAAGATAGAACCGGTACCATGATAACAAAACTAGACAAAGAAAATATAAGAAAACTCTATCTGTAGATCAATATTGCTCATGAACAAAACAAAACTCCAGCAAACTGAATCTAGCATACACACAAAATTAAGATGTAACCAACCAGAGCTTATCACAAGAATTCAGAGATAGCTGGACATTCAAAATGCAATCAATTTCACTTACCAAATTACCTGAACAAAGGAGAAAAGCCATAGGGGCTTTTTTTTTTTTTTTTTTTTTTTGACAGGTAGAGTTTTAGACAATAAGAGAGAGAGACACAGAAAGAAAGGTCTTCCTTCCGTTGGTTCACTCCTCAAATGGCTGCTACGGCCGGCACTGCACCGATCCGAAGCCAGGAGCCAGGTGCCTCCTCTTGGTCTTCCATGCAGGTGCAGGGCCCAAGCACTTGGGCCATTCTCCACTGCCCTCCTGGGCCACAGCAGAGAGCTGGACTGGAAGAGGAGGAACCGGGACCAGAACCTGGCGACCATATGGGATGTCAGTGCTGCAGGCAGAGGATTAACCAAGTGAGCCATGGCACCGGCCCTGGTAGGGGCTTTTCCATAGTTGCATATGAAAAACATCTGAAAATTCAACACCCAGCTATGACTGAAAACAGAAACCCTGAACGCTTCCTCCTGGATCAGGGAGCAGGCAGGCAGGTCGACGCTCGCTGCACTCGCTCTACCTGATCCTGGAAGTTCAAGGCCATGAGACTGCAGAAGAAAGGTGGGGGAGCAGGGAGCAGAGAAACGGGGATAAAAGAAGAAAAGAGGGAGGCAGAGATGAAGGAAGGAAAGAAAAGACTGGAAAGGGAGAAGCAAAACTGTCTCTGCTTACAGTTTAAGTAGAAATCCACAGGAATCTATAAAACAGTTGCTATCACTATAACTAAAATGTTCATTTTCTCAAGGTTGTAAGATTCAAGGTTAATATACAATATTGTATTTTTATCACACAACTAAAAAAATGTATCTTTTTTTTTTTTTTAAACTTTTATTTAATGCATATAAATTTCCAAAGTACGACTTATGGATTACAATGGCTTTCCCCCCATACCGTCCCTCCCACCCACAACCCTCCCCTTTCCCACTCCCTCTCCCCTTCCATTCACATCAAGATTCATTTTCGATTATCTTAATATACAGAAGATCAGCTTAGTATACATTAAGTATGGATTTCAACAGTTTGCTCCCACACAGAAACATAAAGTGAAAAATAATAGATGATTTTTTAAAATGATGATGAAATCAGAGCAGACCTATTGTCATGTTTAATCCCAGTGAGAGTCAAGTTGGGAATTGATAATTTCTTTTTTTTTTTTTTTTTTTTTTTTTTTTTTTTTTTACAGAGGATCAGTTTAGTATGCATTAAGTAAGGATTTCAACAGTTTGCACCCCCATAGAAACACAAAGTGAAGTATATTGTTTGAGTACTCGTTATAGCATTAAATCTCAATGTACAGCACATTAAGGATAGGGATCCTACATGAGGAGTAAGTGCACAGTGACTCCTGTTGTTGACTTTACCAATTGACACTCCTGTCTATGGCATCAGTAATCTCCCTACGCTCCAGTCATGAGTTTCCAAGGCTATGGAAGCCCTCTGAGTTCTCCGATTCTTATCTTGTTTAGACAAGCTCATAGTCAAAGTGGAGGTTCTCTCCTCCCTTCAGAGAAAGGTACCTCCTTCTTTGATGGCCTGTTCTTTCCACTGGGATCTCACTCGCAGAGATCTTTTGCCAGAGTGTCTTGGCTTTCCATGCCTGAAATACTCTCATGAGCTTTTCAGCCAGCTCCGAATGCCTTTAGGGCTGATTCTGAGGCCAGAGTGCTATTTAGGACATCTGCCATTCTATGAGTCTGCTGAGATTCTCACTTCCCATGTTGGATCACTCTCCCCTTTATTTACTCCATCAGTTAGCGTTAGCAGGTACTAGACTTGTCTATGTGCTCCCTTTGACTCCCAGTCCCTTCACCATGACCAACTGTGAACTGAAACTGATCACCTGGAACAGTGAGATGGCATTGGTACATGCCACCCTCGATGGGATTGAATTGGAATCCCCTGGTATGCTTCCAACTCCACCACTTGGGGCAAGTCAGCCTGAGCATGTCCCAAATTATACATCTCTTCCCTCTCCCATTCCCACCACCATGTTCAACAGGGATCACATTTCAGTTAATTTTCAACACTTAAGAATAACTGTGCATCAATTTCAGATCTAAACCAGTCATATTAAGTAGAACAGATAAAAAAAACTACTAAGAGGGATAATGTATTTAGTTGTTCATTAACAGTCAGGGTTATGCTGATCAAGCCACCGTTTCCCATAGTGTCCACCTCACTCCAACAGGTTTCCCTCTTGGTGTTCAGTCAGTCGTCACCGATCAGGGAGAACATATGGTATTTGTCCCTTTGGGACTGGCTTATTTCACTCAGCATGATGTGTTCCAGATTCCTCCATTTTGTTGCAAATGACTGGATTTCGTTGTTTCTTACTGCGGTATAGTATTCTAAAGAGTACATATCCCATAATTTCTTTATCCAGTCTATCGTTGATGGGCATTTAGGTTGGTTCCAGGTCTTAGCTATTGTGAATTGAGCTGCAATAAACATTAGGGTGCAGACCTCTTTTTTGTTTACCAATTTAAATTCCTTTGGGTAAATTCCAAGGAGTGGGATGGCTGGGTCGAACGGTAGGGTTATCTTCAGGTTTCTGAGGAATCTCCAGACTGACTTCCATAGTGGCTTGACCAGTTTGCATTCCCACCAACAGTGGGTTAGTGTCCCTTTTTCCCCACATCCTCGCCAGCATCTGTTGTTGGTAGATTTCTGCATGTGAGCCATTCTAACCGGGGTGAGGTGAAACCTCATTGTGGTTTTGATTTGCATTTCCCTGATTGCTAATGACCTTGAACATTTTAAAAAAATGTATCTTTAAAAATCTCATTTAAAATAGCACTAAAGCCCATAAAATACTGAAGAAAAATTTTTCACAAGTGACTTAAAAACTCTGCATTACTGCATATACAGTTGACGCTTTGAAAATTGACTTTGAGATTCAACACAATCTCAAACAAAATCCCAGCAAGGGAATGGGGAGAAAAAGGAATGAACAATCTAGTTTACTTTTAATTATATGCAAAACTTAACAAAGTGGCCATAAATCTAACACAAAGGTTTAAAGTACAAAATTCAAAGACTAAAACATAGAAAAAAACTTTCTTTCTTTTTTTTTTTTTTTGACAGGCAGAGTGGACAGTGAGAGAGAGAGAGAGAGATGGTTCACCCTCCAATGGTCGCTGCGCCAGCGCACCGCGCTGATCCGAAGCCAGGAGCCAGGTGCTTCTCCTGGTCTCCCATGCGGGTGCAGGGGGCCCAAGCACTTGGGCCATCCTCCACTGCCCTCCCGGGCCACAGCAGAGAGCTGGACTGGAAGAGGGGCAACGGGGACAAAATCCAGTGCCCCGACCGGGACTAGAACCTGGTGCGCCGGCGCCGCAAGGCGGAGGATAGCCTAGTGAGCCACAGCGCCGGCCGAGAAAAACTTTCTGACTTCATAGTAAGCAAAGACTGCTCAGGGTACAAACAGCCTGAACCATAAAAGAAATAAATCCTGAGAGTGGATTTTGTCAAAAGTGAATCTTCTATTCCTAGAAAGACAAAGTTAGGAAAATGAAAGGCAAGCCATGTAATGGGAAAAAATTCACAATACAATGGACTCATGTCCAGAATATATGTAAGAATTCTTGGGGTTGGTGCTGTGGCACAGCGGGTAGGCTACCATCTACAATGCCAGCATCCCATATTTGAGTGCCAGTTCAAGTCCCAGCTGTTCCACTTCTGATCCAGCTCTCTAATAATGCTCCTGGGAAAGTAGCAGATGATGGCCCAAGTATTTGGGCCCACGACACCCATGTGGTAGACCCAGATGGAGCTCCTGGCTCCTGGCTTCAGCCTGGCCTAGCCTCAGCCAAGGTAGACATTTTAGGAGTGAACTAGCAGATGGAAAATCTCCATCTCTCTGTCTCCACACCCCACCCCACCCCACCCCCACAACTCTGCCTTTCAAATAAATAAAATGTTTTAAGAAAAAGAATTCTTACAACTAAATAAAAAGTCAAGCAATCTCATTTTTAACCGTGTTAAAAATTTGGACAATATATTTTACAAAAGAAGACACAAATGGCTAACAAGCACATGAAAAGATGAACAACACAATGTGGCACTATTTGAATAAAATTAAAAACACTGAAAATAATAAATGTTGGCAAAAATATGGCGCTTCGTACCCCTAATCCACTGCTGGCAGGAATATAAAATGCTGCAGCCATTTTGGAAAACTAGCAGTTTTTAATAAAAGTGAAACGTGTGCCTCCCGCAGGACTCAACTGTTCCACTACGATCCCAGAGCAGGAAGACATCTGCCCACACAAGGTCTCCGCACCAACACCCAGCGCAGTTTTATTCACAACAGACCAAAACAGAGAACGACCCAAATGTTCATCAAAAAATGAAAAGCAAGTGTACTGAGCAATGAACACATGCAAGAGGACTGCTGATACACACCATAACATGGATGAATCTCTGAGTGATTACGCTGAGTGAAAGAAGACAGACCCGAAGGAAGACCTATTTTATTATTATCTGCGTCACTGGGTGTTGCTATTAGCAACACGCCTGACCCCGGGTATTTAAAAAGAAGAGATTTATTCAGCTCACTCTTCTGGAGATTCAAGGGTGCGTCCCCAGCATCTGCTTAGCCGTGGTGATGGCCTCATGGCAGAAGGGGTCATGTGGTAACAAGAACAAGAGACCAGAGTGGGGCAAGTTCTCTCTTTGTGTAACAACTCACTCCTTTGGGAATCAATGCACTCCTACCAGAACTGACCTTCTCCGACCAGACAGCACTGATCCACACGTGAGGGTGAAGACCCCATGATCCAATTACCTTCTCCCAGCCCCCACCTCTTAAAGGCACCCAACCTGCAATACCACCATCGTAGAGCCCAAGTTTCTTGCACAGAAACCACTGGATGTCAATCATACCAAACCTCAGCCTAGAGTAACAAAGCACACAACAGCTTTTGCCTGGTGCCGGGAGGTGGATCACAACCAGATCCAGGGAATCTTTAGGGGTAAGATACATTCAGTCTCTTCACTGTGACAGCAGTTTTATACACTGTGATGGTATATATAAAAGCCACAACTCCTGAGAT